ACTTCCTACTACATTTGCAATGGCTCTATTTTGTGTTGCTGTTACAATGCTATTAAAATAACTATTTTATGTGATTGGCAAAGACAATTGTAGGAAACAATTGAATAAGATAACTTGAGAAGGAAGTATAATACTGATTGATATTGATAGTCAAATCACATAGAGTTCTTAAAATGACAACTACTTGGTTGCACATTAAGCTAATTTGCAAATGCTACTTACATTCCAGAAACAAAGCATCAAATGAGAACCAATAAAATATGTTATGTTTTTGTATGTTGGGGAATCACATGTGGTAAATCAACAAAGAAAGGAGTGATTTATGCTTAAATCCTGCCAAGAGTTTAATCAATATTGGGTGTCACATCCCAGGGGACTGGAGGAGGTAAGTGAGGCAAAAAGAAGGTGTCTAATATTGTCTTGGTAATTTACAAGCAACCCCATGAAATTCAGTAGATTAAACAAAAAAAGCCAATATTGACTAATAAAGAAGTGATTTTTAAAATCTGTATCAAGTTTATTAAATTTTGCATAAGGAAGCTGGGCATGGGGCTATTTTACTCATTTTAGATAATATTTGAAGCTTTTTAAAAATAAAATATTATTTGTGAAAATCAAATGTATTGCATCATATTTACTAAAAGTTTATTTTTCTAAAAGCAAAACAATTTAAAACAGTGTGTATTTTTGACAATAATAATTGTATTCTAGACTAATTTCAAGGAAGAAAACAAACTTGATAAACATTACCTACATAACTCAAAAACTTACAGTTTATACTATAAGTTGATTGATATCAATCAATCCTAAGTTGATACTCTCATTCTCATTTATAGATTAGTTATTAAACTATCATTTTTCTGACATTTGCAAACCAGAAGGGTTCTAAAACCAAACTAACTTTCATATTATTTTATGTGTTGGTTATCAAGCCATGTCAATTTCTTTGTGAAATGTTATGAGACATTTAGTTTTATAGGATCCATTAATCTACCATAACACAAAAACTTCAAAAGCATAGTTTCTTTGTATGAAATGATTCTTGAATTTCTCTGTGCCAAGCATCATGATTGTCTGTCAAGAGTGAGTGAATCTGGACCTGTATTAAAAGTCCCTTGTGAATGCAAAGCAGGCAATGAAGAAAATGTTGAATAAATACAGCCCCAGCTTTCTGTATTTACTAAAACCCTGACACGAAAAAGAATTAAGGGAAAATGTACTTCTTACACTAAAATTACATTCAGATAGGACCCTGAAATATATAAAACTAGGCAAATCTTCCAGTTTATGTTCATGAATAGTATCTGCTTTAAAGATATAAGAATACTGTCATGAATCTGTGTGTATACATGTAAAAGGTTGGAGATAAGGTCGTCTACTTAAGTTAAAAAAAAAAAAAAAAAAGTCCGTAACTCTCAGGCCACATAGAAGCCATGTCATAGCCTGGCTTAAATGATACAGAGACAAAACCATCTTCTGGCCATAATAAGAAAGAAACCACTTCAGATAACATAATGCAAGGGACACTTTTTGTTACATGAATTCACAGAAAAATCGAACCTTAACCCAAATCTACAAACAAGCAATTGACTGACACAAACAGACTCGACCATGTACATAATTACTTTTTTTTGTTGTTGTTATTTAATGGTTAGCAGTTAATTAACTGACCTCTGTTGCAACAGCCAAGTTCAGACAACTAATGCTTAGTTTTAAAATAATAATTGAAGGAAACAGACCAAGGTCAGACTTTGCCTTTTAACAACTTTCAAATGCAATTCCTTACATTTTCTTTCATGTCTTGAGACCTATACTTTTCAGCTTTACTCTCTCAAAGGTGATAGTGCCTTTTTCATCTCCTAGTGGTAAAGACAGATGGCTTCAACATTTACTCTAATTTTCATAGAGAGCATACTAATTCAATAGCCCCAAGCAAATTAAATTGACTTTAAGATTTGCCACCGTTCCTGAGTCACTCTCAAGAAGTTTATCAGTGTTTCTTTCCCTTAACATCACTTTGGTTCCTAAAATCCCCTGAAATTTTAATATTGCTAAGAATTCTCATTAGATACACATCCTTTAAGCAGAGAATACTATGATTTGATATCACACACACACACACAGCTAAATATTTACTGGTAATTTTAGTGCTTCTTCTACATTTTCAATAATACAATGCAAAGCTTTTCCCTTTATCTGTTAAATAACCAGGACAGAAAAAACCTGGATGAAAGAAGTCACTCAAATCTGAATTCATAAAAACAAAATCTCGATACCTACTCATAAACTGGACTTAAATGAAAGAACAAATTTAGTTTATCAAGTTCAAGATACAAAGCATTCAGGCTATTGATTTCAAAATAAAGAAATGAAAGGGCAAGGGTAGTAATTACCATTAAAACAGTAATGTGTTATATGCAAATTGTGTATTTCAGCAAGAGAAAGTTCAGATGCAATTTTCCATTCCTTAGCCTGTGGCAGAGTTAGAAGAACCTAAGCAGGTATGCACTCACACCTTGTCAGGTTAACTTGTAGAATTCCCATGAATTGAGCAGGCTTTTTAGTTGACATAAAATCAAAATTTAACAGTCAATCAGCATTAAAAATACTTGAAGTAGGACTTTAGTACAATACATTTAATCACATAATATTAAGGCCAAGTGAAATATAATTAGGGTACAGATGAGATATTTTTAAAGGGATAAACAATTCCACTGGGTTTAACCTAGCTTTGGGTTTTTCAACTTAAGATTCTAGAACATTTGTGCTCCGTTGGGAAGGAAAAATGTGAGGAAGAGGAAAAAGAGAAGGAAAGAAAGTAAAAAGAATAAGTTAAAAAAAATAGTAACTTTAAGAGTATCCTCGGATTACATGACAACTTCCACTTAAAGTCTTAGAGTGATATGGCATTACCATTGTAAGGAATTCTCTCTCTCTCTCTCTCTCTCTCTCTCTCTCTCTCTCTCTCTCTCTGTGTGTGTGTGTGTGTGTGTGTCTGTGTGTGTGTGTGTGTGTGTGTGTGTGTGTGTGTACATATGTAAAAGAATCTAACATCAGAAACACACACTGACGATTGGGAGAAGAGAAGACATTTCATTAGTAAAAAGAAAAACAGCATCTCAATTTGTCACAGAGTCAGTGTGACAACAGAAGTATCTGAACTGACTTCCAATTTTACCTTGCTGAGCTTCTGATAGATTTTACGATGGGTTTTGAACAAATATTTTATCTTATGGAAAAATCCAAGAATGACAGTTATCTGACTGACTGAATGGCATTTAGTGATCAGCATGCCCACCCATACCCACTGCGGTCTGGCCATTCACTGGACCCAGCAGGAGCATGTGTGCACGCCTTGCGAGGATGCATGCACAGGGATGAGCGCGCGCACACACACACACACATACACACACACACACACACGCGCGCGCGCACACACACACACACACACAGTTGAAATCAGAGGTCAAGACCTACACAGCTTTAATTCTTAAAATGAACGGCTAATAACCACGAAAATAATTTTTAGCTAAGTCAGTTAAGGCCAGGATGAAGTTTCAATCTTTCTCCTTTTCTTCCTAGGCCCTACACAGAACTCCTCTCAAAGAAGAAATAGCTGACGGTTTTTGGGCCCCTTCTCCTTTAGGTGGCAACTACTTACTGCCTCCTCACCCTCCCTGCTCCAAGCAGCTTCCTCGGGTTCCCTAAGAGGGAACCTTCTCTCACTATTATCATTTTAAAGGTATCAAAGTTGTTTATGAGTCTTTTCGCCCAGTTTCCAACTGTCTGCTTCAGGTCCCCAACTTTCCCTACTCTCTTCGTCCCAGAACCTCTGAACTGCTCCCTCGGTGAGCTGCCGGCTGGATAATTTCTACCCCGAAACTGACAAGTTGCCCCACTCCCGCCCCCTCTCGGTAGATCCTCCCCCACTGAGCGTTCATTAGCATAAAACTGGTTGGGTCGGGGACTGTCCCAAGGCCTCCTGGGTGCTAGCACTTTATCAAGGAAAACTAGGAGAAAAGTGCTCAAACCCTTAGCATCCTAGAGCGAAATGTACACCTGCTCTTCTCCTGAGCCTTAAACCTCAGCGAAGAAACAAGACCAGGAAAGCGCACTTTGGAAAGAGTGCGAGCAAGTTGGGCTTTTTCTTCCCCACCTCTCGGGTTCAGCTTCCAAGAGGCGGGGGCACCAGGTCATCGCCTAAAGGACAAAACGTGTTTGTGCCCTCACATTTGCCCCGGGGCAAACGCACTCCTTTTTTTTCCTCCTTTACACACACACACACACACACACACACACACACACACACACGGGGGGGGTGGCACACATGCGAGAGCTCGCGCGCGTGCACACACACACACACACACACGCACGCACGCATGCACACCCGCGGGCACACAGACCCCTCCCCTACACAAGTGTCCCTCCGGGATTTCGGGGCTGAACTCCCTGCTGAACTCTGGGATCACCCCAGGCACTGCTCGCGGCTGACTTCTCAGCACCACCCTCTGTTCTTCCTAGAGCAACCCCTAGCCCGGAGCGCATCCCCCATCTTCCCAACCCTGCGGGCTGAGCGTCACGACCTCCCTCCTCCCCTAGAGGTGCCCAAAGGCTCCCGGAGGAACCGCGGCCCAGGAGTGCACTCCGGGGCAGTAGTGCCTCACAGGGTGCCGGGCGCCAGCAAGCCCAGAAAGGGTCTGTGACTCCTGGTTAGGCGCCTAGCTTCTGCTCCCCTTTCTAAGCATCCCAAGCTGAGGCAGCCGAGCCCGAAAGCCCTGGGGACGGGAAGACAAGGCCAGCACAGAGCGGTGCGAACTTGTCCGGGAGGTCGGGCGAAGGAGACAAGCTCCGGGGACCCAGAGCAGAGGGCCGCGCTCCCCAAGTCGCGCAGCCTGCGGGCGCGCGGAGCCAGCAGGCGCCGGGAAGGGAGTTGAGGGAAGGGCCAGAGGGAGAGGGTGGGAAAGGACGGGGGCGACGGGAGGTTCCCCTCCGCTCTTTACCTGGCGTTGGTGCAGTCATTGTAGAGGGTCTCGAAGTCCTTCCTGGAGATGAGTTTGCAGCGGTTCACTCCGGGCTGGATGGCCCCCAGTCCCCTCAGGATGCGAACCTGCTCCACGTTGCACACCACCGGCGTGATCTCCAACCGCTTCAGTTTGGTGTAGACGGTGTGCAAGCCCCCCACCAAGTGCTTCAGAAACAGGTCGAAAGCCTGGGGCAAGCAGATGAGCTCGCAGCCCTCCACCGTGAAGGAAGCCACTTTGGCCCCCCTCAGATCCACCATTTTGCACTCATTATTCTGGGGGGTGTTTTCCACTGGGGACGGGGTTGAGTACACAGGTTTCCCGGGGAGGGGGCCGCAGCTGCTGCTGCTGCTGCTGCTGCTACTACTGCTGCTGCTGCTGCTGCTGCTGCTGCTGCTGCTGCTGCTGCTGCTGCTGCCGCCGCCGCCGCCGCCGCCGCCGGTGTTCGCGGTGATGGGGGTGTTGGAGGCGCCGCCGCCGCCGCCAGCGCTGATGCCGCCGCCGCTCCCGGCCGCCAGGCTGGGGTTGCAGTTGCTCCCGCCGCCGCCGCCGCCGCCGCCGCCTCCGTTGCCGCCGCTGCCACCGCCGCCTCCGCTGCCGCCACCGCCGCCACCAGGAGAGGTGACTGCGGCCGCCGCCGAGGAAGACGCCGAAGAGGCGATGGGCTCCGGCCGGAACAGAGTTGGCCCAGACGACGCCGGGGGGCCGAGGGACGGAGCCGGAGACGAGGTCGCCGAGGAGGTGGAGGTGGAGGAAGCAGACGTGGAGATCGGGGGTTGAGGGGGGACCAGCTGGGTCGGAGGGATCAAAGCCGCCGGCACTGCCATGGTCACATATAAGGGGAAACAGAAGGAGGAGAAGCGAGGGGGAAAAGTTGCCACACACACCCCCCCCGGAGGGGAAGGGGGAGAAAGAGGGACAGGGATCGAGGGGAGGGGGGCAGCGACAACAACCACTCTAGGAAGGAACGCGGGCTGGAGGAAGCGAGAGGGAGAAGGGGAGAAAGGGAGGTGAGGGTAAGAAAAAGGCGAGCGCAGGAGGGGCGAGCGCGAGAGGCGCTCGCTCGAGAGAGAGAAACGCACAAAAGTGTCCCACAAGTCGAAATGCGAGTCCTCTCCCGGGGCTGGGATCGCGGGCTGCTCAGCAGGGGAGGGCGGGGGGCGGGCGGGGAGGGTCGCCTGGTGGTCTGTGGGTCCCGCTCTAGCACAAAGTTAAGGATGAAGGTGAAAAGGAGGAGGGTTGAGGGGCTTGGGTTCTCCCCGGCAAGTACATTGATCAAAGATTGAGAGGGGAATGACAGAGAGAAAATGAGCTGAAAGTGCAGGCTGCCGGCTGGACGAGTTGTTGTTGTCACACGGTGCAGAGGGGAGGAGCTCCGGATACTTGAAATACCCTTTGAAGCCGCGAAACCCTCACTCACTAGTATTAACCCAAATTATCCAACCAGGAACTCGGAGCGCAGACTCCAAGAGCGCGAGACCTGGGGGTGGGGGTAAGGAAAGGAGGGAGGGTGCGGGGGGGGGGGAAGGGTGGGAGGGAAGCCCTTGAAAAGCCAGGGCTCAAGAGTGGTGCTCCGAGGGGGGTGGGGGGGGGGGGAGATGGTCATCTACTTCTCTCGCGTTGCTACCGTTACATTGCATGCCTTCTACCCCATGGCTCCACGAAGACTCTTAAGCGTCCCCACACACCCCAAAAAGGTTCTGAGCAGTCTCCTGCGGACTGAGAGAGCCCGCGGTTCAACTGGCAGCTCACCTTTCAGGGATTTAGAATAAAACAACCGCCCCCCACCACCACCTCACCCCGCCCTCGTGTTCGTTTGTGCAATGAGTTACAAAAGGAAACACATCACCCCCCCCTCCCGGCTCACGACTGTTGAGCAATATTTTTTTTTTTTTTTGAGGAAAATGTGCATGTGAGCAAAGTGTACTATCTTATGTATCCGATGTGTTTTTCTATATTACAACATTTATATAAAGATGGAAAATTTTCAGGACAGTTTTCAAGTTGCAAGAAGAAAGTCGCTTCCGAATCATGGGATGCTCCTGATAGAATTCCTTATTTCCTAGAGGACTTGGAAATACACTCTTGTCATAAGATAAGTAATTTAAAACCAACTTTTCTTTCACCCCCCCCCCAGAGACAGGTCAGACATGAGTAATATACGGAGAAATTTCAAAGAGATCAGGCGTCCTTGAAGATTAGAAAGCGAAATACAAAAACACGCTGGTGTTTCTTACCCAAAACTCTAATTAATTCACCTGTCTTGCACAGTAATCAACTATCTGTTATCTTTTAGTACCCAAGGCTAGTCGCTAGCATATTATTTAACCAACACAGTAATTATGGGGTTTCTGTCATATTTGAGAAGGTCTGCTATATTTTGGGACGTCTTTTTAGATTTGTCATTGAGAATGTATTTGTAAATAATGAGAACAGAAACTAAGCTTCCTGGCTGCCTTGTAAAGACAGAAGGGGAGGTTAAGCTGCATGATGGGGAAACATGCTTGCTTTTCTCCTCTCTCTTGTCTTCTCGAGTAACTTGTTGCATGAAGGTATTTATTTGGGGATGTTTAATCAACATATGATCTGAGCATAGGTCAAGTCCATGTGTTGCTTACATCTCTAGAAATCAGGAGTAGTTAGGCTTTGAATCAGGTCACACACGTTCAGAGATTTCCTAAGATTTTTAACAAGGAACCATCATTTAACAGATTTTCAAAATGAACTATTATAGCAGGATCTGCATTTTGAGAAATTTTATGATGGAGTTTTTTTGACATTTGGCTTTTGAAATTGTGATCACCTTACCCTCTTCATCATTTTTAACCCATTGAACTCCTTAAAGTTTGGTGTCAAAAGGTATAGAAGCCCCCTAAAAAGAAAGATGACACTATTAACTTCCTCTTTAAGACTAAATTTTTTGAGGCAAAATAGTTGTAAGAATTCATAAAATTATTGCATAAAAGTTTGTAAACTTCTATAAAGGTGGCTTAAGTTTTCAAAGCTGTTTGTCCTAGTTAACCAGTGTATTTAAACCTACTGAGGTGGGGTTTATTGATATTTTTATTCATCAAACTTATTCTTAACTAAACGTAGAGATTCAGTATATATCACAAATATCAAAATATATTTTAGAAACATTGCCATTTTTTTCAAAGTGTCAAATTACTGTGTTAGTGTAATGTAACACTGAAAAAAAGTGTTAAACTCTAAAAGAAAAATAAACAAATGTATTTTTGAATGCCATCCCTAACTTTAATAAACTCCAATGTGCTTTTAAAAGGCAAAATGTAGTGTTCCAGTCCTGGTCCTACAGATAGAAAGGGGGAGTTAAGTGTCCAAAGCCTGACCTTACCATCCTCATTCTCACATTTCCTCAAACTATCACTCATCCAAAATCTGCCACACTCTGGAGCAATAAACAGGAAATGAAGCAATGATACAGACCAAACCATAATCCCACCATGCTTCCAGCCAACTTCAAATGTTCTGCATAGAAACATGTGCTCTGAGCACACGCTTCACTTAGACCATATTCCTCTACCTATATGGTACTCCTCCCCTCCCCCCAACCTTTTCAAGGAGCCACCACTTGCTCCTTAGATCACATAACAGGGTTAGAAAAGTCAAATGTTGCAAAAGAAAAATATACCGGAAAGAAAACCCCCTGAGAAAGCATATTCTTTTCCTCCTTTTCTTTCCTACTTTTGGAGATATTCTTTCCTGTGATGAAGAAGGCAAACCATACTTAGCACAGAACATAGATCAACTTAGGAAAGGTTTCAAATTCTCACTCCATGGCATCTTTAGCATTGAGATCTTCTGTCTTGTTTATTGTTTTACATCTCCTGTTCTTTAAGGTACTCTTTGTCCATCTCATCTTTCCTATCCTTCATTCAATTTGCATAAGCAAAACTCAAAGTACTGTAACTGATATTAGAAAATTCTCCCTGTGTTTTGTGAAGATGTATTGTGCTGAAATCAATAAGACTGTTTAAAATTCAAAGACCTGCAAATCGTTCTGTTTGTCCTTTGATAGGGCCTGTGCTGATTAAAATGCTACCAAGAAAGCTTAATTGCTGCACTAATTAAGAAGTCTTTAATTTCTTTCCTAGGATATCGTTTGAAGCTTAGCTTGTACAGTTCAGGGAAGGTATTTTCTTCCCTCCTTCTGCCCTCTTCTGGCCCCTCCCATCCCCTCCCCCTCCTTTCCCCCATTTGAGGAGACCGGTAAGAATGGGAACTAATAAAAAGAATGGTCTCATCATCTATTACTTAACAAAAATCGGCACAGGATACAGAGTTCAGCGCAGTATGGAAGGCAGTTTTGAGAGGAGCTTCAATCTTTGCAGGAGACAGTGAGAAAATACAAAGTAGCTGTTGGAGCTAAAATCGCGGTGATTACCTGAATGACAACAGGCACTTTAGGGATGATGAGGGCATCCTATTTGGTTAAAAGGCTCAGTGGCGAATAGGGACACATAAAAACATATTTCCACAACCTGTGGTTTCAAAAGGGAAGAATAAATGTGTAAAAAGATGGACTTGTAGTTGGGAATTGTAAGTATCATTTTATTTGTGTATAAAGGGGATATCTGTGGGGATTTATTTTTGACCCTTTTTTTTATAACTCAGGGAGGCACATAACTGTATTACATCTATTCTGTTCTTTTCTATTGACATGCTGTATTCAGAGATTTCTCAAGTGGGGAAACTGACTAAATGACTTCACAAAGCTTTCTCTGCAATCAATAGTCATTTTTTAAGGTTTATTCATGTTGCATTATAATTCTGGTAAATGACTGCAAAGAACAAGATTGTAAGAAAGATACAAATATTGACAGATCCAGGATAAGTCATGTCTTCATTCTTTAGAGTTTCTTGTAGCAACTGGTACAGTGTTTTTGGTTTTTTTTTTTTTTTCTATTGAAAATTATTTCTTACAAAACAAGAAAACATAGGACAATGGAAAGGCAATGTATATCTGAGTCCACTTCTGTTCTGAAAGCTTTGAATTGATTGGATTTTATGGTATTTCTAAATAAAAGAGAAGCAACGTGCATATATGAAAAGGCGTATACCAAGAGAGCAGCATGAAGAGACATTATAATTTTATTCCCTTGATTTTCGCAAGCTCCATTAGAAGCACGTATGTTAGAAATTACAGATGTATACTATAGATCTATACTGAATCCCTTCTAGTGACAGGACAAGGAGAAAGCATCCTTAATAGATTCAACGGCAGATTTGCCATTCCAAGCACGACGTCACTCTAATTATGTTTACTCTAATTGAAAGCAAGGTTTTCTTTTTTTTTTTTTCTTTTTTTTTTTTTTTTTTTGGAATCTGAAATTACTTTCAGATTTTTTTTTAAATAATGCAAGTGGATCAAATGTTGATCACAAGCATTTCAATCTTTCAAAATGTATTGGAAAATTAAATGAAAAGTAGAGTTTGGTACAAACAATGCCCCAGGGCAAAAAACAACTAACACTAGATTTTCCAGTCCAGCCATAACACAAATCAATTTGAGCACAGTTCTATGGCCAGACTGCCAGATTGTTATGACTGCTAATTCACTCAATCAAAGAGTGCATTAGCACACCCGGCACAAACAGCTTTAACAATGGAGTACGTTTCTCAACAACCCTCAGATACACCACAGTGGCTAAGTAAAAGAGACCATTTTTACATCTGTGTATTTACTAATGGACCTGTTTCCTTAATAGAGATTTTAAAAAAAGAAGAAGAAGAAGAAGAAAAGAAAGACGAAGATAAACTTCAGTCATTGTTTTATTAAAGAGCTATCAGAGTTTGGCAAATCTAGAAAGATATCAGGGTACCAGTAGTTCACTGACTTTGTTAAATGTTTCTCAGGAGAGAGTCCAAAATTGATGTTTGCATTTCAGCAGTAAATCATTGAAGATGAAGAAATTATGCCAAGTAACTCTCTCAAGCATTTTTAACTCAGACACATGGCCTTGCCAATCAGCCCCTCAGGTAAACCTTAACTACCGCAACCACAGACTTACACAAACTTTTATGTTTTCACCATTTTCTCT